GCATCCAGAGTTCTTATCAACAATTGAGCAGGGTTGGCAACTAGAAGTGGAAGGTGCTAAGCAATTTCAGCTAGTGAGAAAGCAAAAATTGTTGAAACCAGTACTGAGGCTATTTAATAAAAGGAATTTTGCCAATATAGAAGAGAAGGAGCAGGTATGTAGAATACAAATGGACAAGATTCAGGAGGCCCTAAAGCAGGATCCATTGAATAAGGAAATACAGAAATCAGAAAAAGAAGCAGTACTAGAGTATACAATAACATCAAAAGCAGTTATTAGTTTTTGGGCATAGAAATTAAAAGAAAAGTGGATATGTGATGGTGATATGAATACCAAGTATTTCCATGCAGCAGTCAGGCAAAGAATAAACAAGAATAGGATTAAGTCATTTATCTCAGAACATGGGGAGTTGATGGAGGAGCAGTGCAAAGTGGAGGAACACTTTATAGGTTACTATAAAGAGTTGTTGGGGAAGAAGGTGGCAAGAATCAATGCTAAGAATGAAATCTTGGATATAGGAAGCAAACTGAACTTTGATCAGCAGGTACTCTTGATTAAAGAGTTTACCAAAGCAGATGTAAAGGAAGCTTTATTTATTATTGATGGAGCTAAAAGCTCTGGACCTGATGGATACAATAGTGGATTATATAAGAAGGCATGGAACATAGTGGGAGATGATTTCAACAATGCTATACTTGAGTTCTTCGAAACTGGGAAACCGTTGAAGCAGATCAATGCAACCATGATAGCATTGGTACCAAAGAATGAAAGTCCGAAGAATGCCACAGAATACAGGCCAATTTCCTGTTGTAATACTATATATAAATGCATCTCTAAGATGATTTTCAAAAGATTGAGCCTTGTTTTACCAGATTTAGTGGATTACAATCAAGGAGCTTTTGTTAAGGGCAGATTGATATTGCATAATGTGTTGCTGGCACAAGAACTAATCAGACTGTACAACAGGAGATCAGCAAAACCATCATGTATGATGAAGGTTGATTTAAGGAAGGCTTATGATTTAGTTCATTGGGAGTTCCTTGAAGAAATGTTACAAGAATATAAGTGTCATGAAAGGTTCAGACAGTGGATTATGGAATGTGTTACATCATCTACTTACTCATTGAATCTTAATGGGAACAGTGTTGGTTATTTTCAAGGTCAAAGAGGATTGAGGCAAGATGATCTAATGTCTCCATTACTCTTTGTGCTGGTAATGGAATACCTTACCAGAAGCTTTAAATTGGTGGCAAACATGGATGGCTTTGTGAAACATCATACTATGAGGAATTGAATATAACATCATTAAGCTTTGCTGATGATTTGTTAACATTTTGTGGAGCTGAGGTAGGAACAGTCAGAAAGGTTAAAGATACTCTAGACCACTTTGCAAGCACTACTGGTTTGAGAATCAATGAAGGAAAGTCTAATATGTACTTTGGTGGATCAGGAGGCAATACACAAATGGTGATAAGGCAGATGATGGAATTTGAAATTGGAACCTTTCCCATGAAGTATTTAGGACTTCCAATGGCTCCAACTTCATGGAATAAATCAGATTGCCAGTTTTTAGTTGATAAAGTAACTGCCAGGATCAAATGTTGGGAATCTAGGCACCTTTCATATGTAGGAAGAACAGTGCTGATCAATGATGTTTTGATGACACTTCACATTTACTGGGCAAGTATTTTTCTTATTCCACAGTATGTTATAGCTGAGATAACTTCTTGTTGTAGGAAGTTTCTGTGGGGGATAAAAGAATCCGGAAAGTGCTTTCCTCTGGTAGCCTGGAATGATCTTTGTTGTAAAAGGAGAGATGGAGGATTAAACATCAAAGAACCAGGTGCTTGGAATAAAGCATTGCTGGGGAAACAGCTGTGGGATTTGGAATTAAAGAAGGATAGTCTATGGATTAGATGGATGCACATTTACTACTTAAAAGGCAGAAGTATTTGGAATTATGATCCTCCAAAAGATTGTAGCTGGCATTGGAGGAAGTTGATGAAACTCAAAGATGATCTGAAAGAAGGAGTAGTAAATGGTAGCTGGACAGGTAATGCTGGTAAAGTATATGATGCAAGAAGTGGATATGTGTGGCTGAGAGGAAGAAGAGAGCAGTTTAAACCAGTAGATATCTATTGGAGTAAGTTCTCCATTCCTTAAACATTGCTTTATTTCATGGTTAGCTTGGAGAGGCAGACTGCTTACTACAGACAGATTGAGACACTTGAAGGTGAATGTTAATGATCAGACCTGCATACTGTGTAAGGAAGAGGAAGAAACATGTACACATTTGTTCTTCAAATGTTCTTATGCACAGGAACTGATGGCTGGAATTACTCAATGGTTAGGAATCAGAACTCAGATTAAAACCCTGTCTGTTGCAAGATTGATGCATATTTGGAAGTATAAAGCTGCCAGAAAGAGGATACTGTTTGCTAGTTTGAATGTTGTGATGCATCACATTTGGACTGAAAGGAACATAAGGTTGTTCCAACAGAAACATGAGTTGGCAGAGGTTAGAAGAAGAAGAATTCAGCAAGAATTAAAATGTGGGATCATTCATTTGTATAGAAATGGTAGTGGAGATGATGTTCGATTTTTGGAAAGTCTTCGTGTTATAATAGATTGATGATACATTGTACAGTTGATGATGATTCAATAAAATACATTCACATTTCACCCAAAAAAAAAAAAGAGAGATCAGATCTTTTTGTTCAAACCAAAAGCTTCGTGAGAAAATATGGCAAAAGATAACTCTAGGCCTTCACGGCAATCTTCCGCTGGATGTACTCATCTAATCTGAATTTGCTCAGGTTCTTGAATACCTTTCCGTTTTGGCAATAGACAAAGGTTTAATCCGTACGCTGCGAGATGTGTAAGTAAATTTTAGACTGACCTAATAATTTATATTGGTAAGAATAGAGTCATGATAGACTTTGCGATATGTTTTTAACGAACCATTAACAACCTATGTGTAATCCTGAGGTGGTCTCCCATGTCACGTGCCTCTGAAAAAAAAAAAGCGTAATATACCGAGGTGTACATCTAATTGTAAAACTTGCACTGCTTGCGTCCAAAAATTATTATCCATTTTGAATTTATATTTTTAGTTAAAATTGAAGCAAAAGTAAAGATTCAAACGGGGTAATGATTTTGGTGTAAAATGAGTATTTTTTCCAACGTACTTGTACTCCTTATGTCCCAATTTGTATTTTTATTAAGAATAAAAATTTAACTATAACTAAAAATTCAAATAAAATAATAATTTTCGACCGAAATGATTATTATTTTTTTCCAGCGCTGCACAAACTATGATTATATTATCACCTGAGATTGTAATGTTTAAATTTGGTCTAAGTAATCAGACGTACATCTGTTTATAAGTTTGAATAACAACCAAATCTGACTTTCGCTCCCCCTTCCCTCTCTTATTGTACCTACCGTAAAATCCTTTATTTAGAAAAAAAGTGCACGATTTGGAAGTGCATAGTACGGGAGTAATTATTAATAACGAGTCCTCATTTCCCAAAGTAATTTTGTCAACTAGTTTGATTTCGTCAAAAACATCGCCAACCATTGTTTACTCTATTATTGAGTCTATTACTATAAGAAGGGCCATCTATTATTAAAATCAATAATTGATTGATAGTCACCATTCAATTCGCGGAGGATAATTATAGAGAAGAGAGGTGCTTTCCGACAAACGGCGTCGCCTCTGGTGTCGACGAAGTTTGGGCTGCCGATGGAATTAGAGTTAAATTAATTTTGATTATTTAAAATATGACTGTTGGAATGTAAGAAGTTATTTGTATTTTCATAATCAAGATACTTTAGTCATTTAATAAATTTAACTTTGAAACCATGGAGGAATACAATGCCTCGACACTCCCCCATCCGGAATAAAACTATGGGTTCAGTATGATATTATAGTTGTAATATATCTTAGTAATGTATCAATTGCATTGTAAGGCTGTCTCTCTTTACTGCATAAAAGAAAAAAAAAAGAAAAGAAGAAAAACTTAACTTTGACTTTTATGACAATTGCTTGGAGGCAATTGTTTTTTTTTTTTAATTTATTTATGAAGTTGGACTTTCGGTGGAGGGGGGAGAAGGGAATAATATAATATAATCATTACAACAAAAATGAGTAGTTTAGACACTTGTGTCTCAATAAGTGGTGTAATAGGACACATGTGATTCACATTGCGTGGAACACTACTAAATAGTGTCTCCTATAATCGAGTCACAATAAGTCAAAAAACATTTGAAAGTGTATTATTAGATCGTCACTTATTAAGATACTTTAAAGTGACCCATTAAGTAGGGTAATAATTCACAAGCAACCCCACATAGTACACTTAATATAGTGTTTCATAATAGGCAAGCACTTTTTCATTTTTAATAAGACATTTTTTAGCAAATGTCCTAATAGACATATAATGAGACACATTTTAGAAAAAGTGTCCTACTATAAAAGTATTGATAGCCCATTTTTGTTGTAGTGAATAATGGTGATTTTTTTCTTGGTAGGCTGCATTTAAACTACGAGTAGTACACATTTAATCTCACCTCATGTTACATTTTTTTTTTTTTAATGATTGTGAATTTGATGCCATGAATTCATTTATTATTTATGAAGTTCAACTTTTGGTGGATGAGGAAGAACGAAATAATATATACTAATGGCGATTTTTTCTTGGCAGGTTACATTTGAACTAAGAGTCATACATCTCACCTCGTGTTACTTTTTTTTTTCTTTTTTTCTTTTTTAAATGCTTGTGAATGCGATGTAATGAATACATTTATTATATTCTGCCCAATGATATCATCTATCATATGAAATTCAATGGGTGATAGGTGTAGATTGCCTGGCAAGTTTGAAAATTTCATTATAAAATCATCTCCCACTCAGCTGAATGTGTAGCATGAGAAACTCCTCTCCTGAACTTTTTCATAAAATCTCCTCTTCTGAAAGAAAACTAAAGTTCATCACTACCATGAATGGCCTTCCAGTTGACCAACAAGAAACCCTATTGTCGCTGTACTGGCGATGCGGATCAACACTTGATTCTGTTTGCGCGGCTGCACTGGAGCTTAATCTGTTCGAGATCATCTCGAAAGCCGGCGGCGAACTCTCCGCCGCGGAGATTGCATCTCATCTCCCAACCCAAAACGAACAAGCACCCGAGATTATCGACCGGATGCTGCATCTTTTAGCTGCCCATTCAATTGTGAAATGCACAGTTGTTCATCATGATGGCGATGATGATAGCGTCACGAGATTATACGGTTTGACTCCCTTGTCAATGTGCTTTCTTCCTGATAAAGAGGGAATTTCCAGAGCTCCACTTGCTGCATTGTTCAATGATAGAGCTTTCCTCGACAGTTGGTATATATCACGGATTGGAGTGTGTGTGTGTGTGTGTGTGTTAAATTCATTTTAATTATATTTGCAAAAATTTTGTTATAATGTATTATGCAGGAAATACTTGAAGGATGCCGTACTAGAAGGAGGAAGTCCATTTCAGAAGGCAAACAATGGAGTGGGCCTCTTCGAATATATGGGCAAAAACAGCAGGTTTGCACAAATATTTGATGGTGCAATGCAGAAAACGTCCACAAATTTCACTAGAGAAGTCCTTCAGCACTATAAAGGATTTGAGAATCTAAAAGAAATAGTAGATGTTGGTGGGGGAATTGGGTCTACACTTAACATGATCATTTCCAAATACCCTGGGATCAAAGGAATCAATTTTGACCTGCCTCATGTAATTGAGAAAGCTCCTATTTGGCCAAGTACTTTTTTTCCTCTGTCTCAAAATAATTATTATATTTATTGTTATAAGGATAATATGTTTGTTGAAGTCTTTTAAAGGACGGTCGGACGAATATATATATATATATATATATATATATTCGGTCATTTCTCAATAATATCGAGTAAACATACATTAGTTATTTTGGATTCCCAAATCGTCAAAATGAAGCAAAGTATTTACTTGTTCAAACACAATCTGAATTATGTGGATCTTAAATTCTCAGGTGTGGAGCACGTGCAAGGTGATATGTTTCAATCAGTTCCAAAAGGAGAAACTATTGTTATCATGGTTAGGCCGATATTCCAGATAAAAACACTTTTTTTTTTCCTTATATTCATTATCCAGTTAATTATAAACAAATACTCTTTCTCTTTTATTTTCTTATCTTCATTACCAGTGTGTACACCCATAGAATTATGATTTATGATCCATCTGAAAGATTTTAAGTTATGACCATAAGGATAAAGTTTTAACCGGTGTGCCAATCTCTGGCAAACTTCCGATCGACTTCGCATAAACACTATTTATTGTAAAATATTCAAATGGTCTTCTATAATAATTTTTGGTGCAATCCGTATACTACGATCTGGAGAGATAACACACAAGAAAGAGCCAGGAAACTTTCTGAGATTTAACTTCCGGGCATGACACATCCAAGGTTAAATGTTATATTAATGACTACCATTTCATTATACAATAAAAGTTAAGTTCAATTTATCTGGTTCATTAAATCATTTCATTATATATATTGTTATTCACTCACTTTACAAGTAATGTAATACAAATGTTTTATGAACGATCTCGTTTCGATATTGAAATTGCTAGTGTTTGATTCTCGTTTAGAGCGTTTTTTTTTTTGTTTTAATTTTTTTTTTAAAAAAGAGGGGGCCTTATATTTAGCTGGTGCATTTTTCAGAGCGCAAGTTTTCATTTCCCTATAATAACAGTTTTATGATTTTTGCACAGCGAGTACTTCATAACTGGTCCGATGAAAAATGTGTGAAGGTGCTGAAGAATTGTTTGGATGTGCTACCGGACTTTGGCAAGGTTATAGTTATTGAAATGATACCATCTGAATCCTCGGAAACTAATATCTCTTCAAGAGTTGCGTTATCTTGTGATATGATAATGTTTGCTTTAACACAAGGTGGCAAAGGAAGGAGTCAGAGAGAGTTTGAGGCTCTTGCGAAAAAAGCCGGTTTTGAATCTTCGAAATTGGCATGTCGCACTCAAGAGTTATGTGTTCTTGAGTTTTACAAGAATTAATTAGGGCTAAGCTTCATTTGCTCAACTCTAAATTTTAAGACCATACATATATGGCCAATGTGCACCTTTTAAATGCAATAAATCTGTTTTTTGGACTTTATTTGTTTATTTTCGTTTGGCTTTTGGATTTTGATGTTACTCTTGCAATTTTTATCTAGCGACTCAAAATCTTACCAGTAATATATATACATTAATAGAACGTAGCTTACAAAGATGCACGTGGTAATTAATCTAAATCGTCTCTCACATTTTCCTTGCATAGAACGGTGATACTTTACACAAGAATTTTGATAATCCATATACAAGGAAAAACTACCCCATGGTTCCTACCTTCGAGGTCTATTGTCTAAGAAAATTGTAGAAATAAAGCTGGTGGTCTCACATAAGTGAACCCCAAGAAGGGATTCTCGGCGCAATTTGGACTACCAGCTGGAGAATCTATAACAGGCTTCTTAGTCCAGCAATCCGCAAAGTTCGCTGTGCATTGCATTCCACCAACTTCGGGAAGAAAACTCGGCCGAATTTCGCGAGCCTCCAACTTGTTCCAGTTTATGCACTTGAACCATTTATGAGATCGTATCGCCTCGCTACCTCCTGATCCGCTTCCAAGCCGCTTGCTTGCTTCCTTATGCAACAACCCTTTCAACAGTGAATGCGCTTCAGTTGATAGATAAGCTGGGAGCTTGATTTTGTCCTTGATAATCTTTTGCTGCATCTTCTGCCGGTTCCCTCCAATGAAAGGCGGCCTCCCGGTTAACATCTCGTACAACAAAACTCCAACACTCCACCAATCAGCAGCCTTATCATGCCCTCTGGCAAGAAGAATTTCTGGAGCCATGTACTCTAAAGTTCCGCACATTGAGTTGGATCTAGTCGTTTCGCCTTCAAATCGCTTTGCGAGCCCAAAATCGGTTAACATAGCGTGCCCCTCTGCATCCAAAAGAATGTTCTCCGGCTTCAGGTCCCTATGCATGATGCCATTCGCGTGGAGATGAGATACCGCGGAGACAATCTCCGCGGCAAAGATCCGCGCCAAATCCTCTCTGAATAAGCCTTGGCGATGTAGTTGAAAAAAAAGTTGGCCTCCATTAACATAGTCAAGCACAAGGTAAAGTCTATACTTTGTCTGGAAAGAATACCTAAGCTGAACAATGAAGGGATGATCAACTTTTGTTAGTATTTCCCTTTCAGCAATGATATACTCAGCCTGGTTTTTCTCCACAATCTTATCTTTTCTCATGACTTTCATAGCGAAAATTTCTGACGATCCAATCTTCCTCACTTGATAAACTTTACCGAATGCACCTTGACCAACCATCTTCAGAACCTCAAAGTCCTCAATCCCTATTGCCTTTAAATTTGACACACAATCGTCATCTTTGACGTCATCTTCATCATCTTCTGTTTCTTGGCTTGGAAGTGGACCGAAAACATCCGAAAAGTCCAAATCAACTTTATCATCAATTTCTGTCGCCGGAAGGCAAACAATATCCAGGAAAGGTTTCCTCAAGATGTTGGCATTCGATCTTGAAATCTGAACCATGTTTGATGGTTCAAACAACTAAACAATTGAGAAAATTGGTCGAAATCCAAACCTAAGAGTCAAAGCGAACAAAGGACACCTCTGAATGATAGCTAATCCTCAAAAACAACAACTGAAACTCCAAGAAAACAGGCTAACAAACTGATCAAAATCCAGAATAGTGGATTCGATCTGTTCTTTCCAGAAGAACACGAAAGGAGTGATCCGGTAGAGCTTGTGGAACTTATGACTATCACAAAAAAACGGAGCTCTAATTAGAAGATATAAAAAGGGACGTCGAAAAAGAGAGCCAATTAACCGGAGGAATACAAATTGAAACTAATAAACCTTGCGGCCCTATTAGATCCTATACATATATAGTAATATACGAAAATCCAATTTCAGGTGGCATTTGGTTAAAGCAGTGGGCTCTGCCAAATCCTATAACGAGATAGGATTTCGCAATCCTGTTTGGAAAAGGTAATAACTTTTTTCTTTATTTCCAAGAAAATTAAGGTAACCACTTTTGCCGTATTATCTTCTCTATATATATATGACACTCTTTTATTCAGGGAGGTTCATAGGTTTTGCCTATACTCATTGTTTTTCTCCATTAATTTTGCCGGAAACCCGAAAAACAGATCAATGGAAGATGAGAAGAATCCGCCTCCTCTGGATGAAGGTGATATTGCCCTTCTTAAATCTTACGGAGAATCAGGACCTTATATAACTGAAATAAACAAAGCCGAGAAAGATATCAAAGAAACGGTGAAGAAAATAAAAGATTTAAGCGGTATCAAGGAATCAGACACTGGTTTAGCTCTACCAAGCCGATGGGATCTCCCGTCCGATCAACAGATGTTGAAGGAGGAGCAATCTCTCCGCGTGGCAAGGTGTACGAAAATTATCAACCCAAACACCGCAGAGGAGCAAGCAAGATACGTTGTCACGGTCCGCGGCGCCGGGAAATTCGTGGTCGGGTTAGGCGACAAGGTCTCCCCGACGGACATCGAAGAAGGGATGCGGGTCGGCGTGGACCAGACAAAGTTTCAGATTCAGATTCCGTTGCCTCCGAGAATCGACCCGAGCATTACCATGATGACGGTCGAAGAGAAGCCGGATGTGACCTACAACGATGTGGGTGGAAGTAAGGATCAGATTGAGAAGATAAGAGAGGTTGTTGAGCTGTCTCTTCTTCATCCTGAGAAGTTTGTGAACCTCGGAATTGACCCTCCGAAAGGGGTCCTTCTTTACGGTCCTCCCGGTACGGGTAAAACCCTATTAGCCCGGGCGGTAGCCAACCGGACCGACGCTTGTTTTATCCGTGTCATCGGAAGTGAGCTCGTGAAGAAGTACATCGGAGAAGGAGCTCGAATGATTCGCGAACTTTTTCAGCTCGCGCGGTCTAAAAAAGCTTGCATTCTTTTCTTCGATGAAGTTGACGCCATTGGAGGTGCGCGGTTCGATGATGGTGCCGGCGGGGACAATGAGGTTCAGCGTACAATGCTTGAGCTTATCAACCAGCTTGACGGATTCGATCCTCGTGGAAACATCAAAGTGATCATGGCTACTAACAGGCCGGATACTCTTGATCCGGCCCTGTTACGGCCTGGTCGGTTGGACCGTAAAGTCGAGTTCGGTTTGCCTGATATGGAGAGTAGGGCACAGATTTTAAAGATTCACACACGAACAATGAATTGCGATAGGGGTATCCGGTTTGAACTTCTTGCGCGACTTTGTCCGAATACAACCGGTGCGGAGATCAGGAGTGTCTGCACGGAGGCAGGAATGTTTGCGATTCGGGCAAGGAGGAAGACGGTAACGGAGAAGGACTTTCTAGATGCCGTGAATAAAGTCATCAAGGGCTACAAAAAATTCAGTTCAACTGCAAAATATATGGTTTACAATTAAGTGTGTTCGTGTGTTTTTTTTCCCCTTCAAACATGTTGTTTACCATAATATTCATGTTTCTTCTATATAGCTTGATTTATTTTTGTACTGCTTCTGCTATCTACGTGTTACGTGAGTTTTTTACCAGTCTTCAGTAATTTTACATCATGTTAAAATGTGCAGGATTTCAAGTTTTCAATTCAACCAGAAAATAAATGAGTTAATGTGAATATATATTGTTTTGGCAAAACTGCTGTAAAATCAACAAAAAGAACAATGCCGTGGTCTGTCCGGGGGCCGTTGATGGCCAAACAGTGATCAACAATGGCAGCGATTGGTAGGAAAAACCTAATAAAATAATCACCAGTCTTCATCATATATGTGACGTTCAAACTTAATTCGGGTAATATGGCATAGGTAGAGTGTTTTTTTTTTTTTCCTTTTAATTTGGATATCAACAGCTGATTTTCTTTGATAGAGGAAAAGGGTAGGAGTTGCTTGTATTTACATATATGTGTTGACATTAATTAAAGTTCGTGATTTCATATTGAAATTCGAAACAAAATTTCGTTTCCGTGTAAAGATTTTCTAATGTATAATGCCGGAAGATTCCTTGTACAATTAAGAGTAACGTTATACGGATGGTGAGGCTGTTCCTGATTCATCTAATTAAGGAATGCTTAAGGAAAATCTTTAAATAACCGAAAATTGAGAGTATTGGATAAGGATCCATTTTATATTCTGTGATGATGTGTTTTTGCAAACATTCATTGACATAATACTCGGATTTTGCTGCAATAAAAACCTTAACTGATAAAACAGAGAAAATATGTATGCCCGGCGTGATGATGTGGTACTGATTTTTTCAAGTCAAACGTTCCATCTGCATACATGGCGGGGTGTCAATCCACACAAATAATTATAAATCTACTTCAAACTATGTAGTATAGAGAAGTAAGGTCGTCTCTTTTGGGAACGATGGATTGTTTCCTTTAAATAAATGAAAATGAGATTTATTTTTTTTTGTTATTTTAATCTATAATTAAAAAAACTCAAATAACAGAAAATAAATAAAAGAAACGAAATCAAGGTAACAAATTTGTGACTCAAAGGACGGACAACTCAATTATTTCATTAATCATGAGTTGCTAAAACTATTCAAGCAATCTATGCATTCAACCAAAGATCTATTAGGATAGTCGTAATAAATCAATTAATCTCTCTAAATTAACTAACCAAGCCTAGCACTCAATTAGTGCTTATCATAATCCGACTGGGCACGATAGCGTTGCATGCCAAACAATGGAAGCATAAATACCAAGAAAATATAATTGAACCAAAACCTAAACAATTGAGATAGCTGCAACTATTCAGACTTTGTCCCATTGATTTCAACTTTAAACTAATATGCGTATTCAATGTCTCATCAATACACATACTTTGTCTCATTGCTACTTAGTACTGCCGGTTTGTGTCTATTACGTATCATTCAACTAGCAGATAGTACTAGAAAGTAAATCACAAATCAAGTTCTCATTTCGAATGATATCTACTTTCGTAAATTAAGACAAGAATCAACAAATACTTAAATCATATGCAAGAACAATAAATTAAGAACAAAACCTCATAATGTAATAATTGAATAAATCCCTTAAATCAGAAAGAAAAACTTAACCACTTATGGATGCGACCATGAGGCTTTATTCTCCATGGAAAATAAAGAAAAGTTTGGAAACGTAAAGGTGCGAGGTGCTAGCTTGGCCTACGCATGGCTGCCTGCTTTACATTGATAAAACATCTATTCATAATAGGAGTTTAGCTCGGCCGCAGGAAAAGAGAAAAGAAATCCGAAATTTTCATATTGGTCCTTCAAGTTTGTATTTTTGTCACTTTTATCCCAAAACTTTTTTAATTATGCAAACAAGTCTCTGACCGTGCAAAATCATCCAAAACAGCTCCAATCTATCATTTCCAGCACCTAACATGAAATAATAACAAAACAAATAAATTAAATCCATCCAAGTCCCTAAACTAATAAAATATCAACAATTAAAACACAATTTATGGACTCTATCAATACAACTGCATGGGACTTTATGAACTTTTCCGAATATGTTCCTCGGAGCCTAAAAGTCAAAAGCGACAGTGTTATCGGAGTCATTGACTCCGGAATTTGGCTGGAATCAAAAAATTTTGATGGCACTAATTTTAGTCGTCCACCCAAGACATCGCATTTTATGACCACAGGTATAGACATCGCATTTTAAATTCTTTGTTTCTTATGACCACAGGTATATTACTTAGTTTACTTGATTGATGCGCATTTGAAATTGTATACCTTCAATTCTAATCTCTTTTGCATCATTACCTGGATAGTTTCCAATTTTGACTTTGATCATATTAATTTTCCTCCCAGAAACCAAAGAGATCGCCTCTTCCACTCCCATGAATTCCCATACATAAATTCATAACTAACAGTTGAATATTTATTTGAGAACATAATGACTCCCATGTGGTTCACAAAATTATTAGTTTCAAGAGTATTTTGTGTAAACTTGAATACTTCGGAGTAGCAATTTGGTGGCATTGATAAACCATTAGAATCTTTTTGATTTTGAATTGAGACCCTTGGTGAAAAAGTTTTCTTGCATGTGTTCCCGATCCTACAAATCAGTGGAATATCAGAGATCATAATCGCAAGCTGTGTAAGATATCAATTCTGTATTTTATTATTTTTTACACATGACTTAATTTTTTTTGGTAAAAGCTAATTGTATTTCATTCATGCTTAACCAGCATATGTACATTTTGAGTTTTTACAAAGAAGTATGAATTTGAATGCCTAAACCTGTCAAAAATCTGATATCATCTCCGCTGCTATTTCTATACAATGTTTTGATCTTCCATTTCAGCTCATGTATCACTCTCTCATTCGTGATTTTGGATTGAGACCCTTTGTGAAAAAAATTTTCTTGCCTGTGTTCCCGATCCTACAAATCAGTGGAATATCAGAGATCATAATCGCAAGTTGTCTAAGATATCAATTCTGTATTTTACTATTTTTTACACATGACTTAATTTTTTTGTAAAAGGTAATTGTATTTCATTCATGATTAACCATCATATGTACATTTTGAGTTTTGACAAAGAAGTATGAATTTGAATGCCTAAACCTGTCAAAGATCTGATATCATCTCCGCTCCCATTTCTATACAATGTTTTGATCTTCCGTTTCAGCTCATGTATCACTGTCTCAGCTCTACTACTTGCATCTTCTTGTAGGTCTCCAAACTTTCTCTGGTTTCTTTCTGTCCAGAATGCATAAATGGTTGCATTAATGCAAGCCTGAGATACCTTTTTCCCCGGTGATCTCCATCTCCAAACACTGCTCAAGGATCTCTGTTTTAACTCTTGCAGCTGGTACTTGACTCCTATCCAATGCAATAGCTTTTTCCATATCTCTTGTGAGTGATCACAGTTGAACATGAGATGCTCCAGGCTTTCAGGTTCTTTTTTGCACAATACACAATCTTTGTCTGCTATGATCATCTTCATTTTTTCTAGTCTATCCACTGTAATCAGTCTTCCCTGCCAGGCTAGCCAGCTTATGAAGCTGTGCTTAGGGATTGTGAACCTGCTCCAGATCATTCCTGCGGGTTTCCATTCAGCTTGTTCCTTCCTCAGCCATTTATAACCACTTTTTGTGGTGTATTACTTCCCTGTTATCCATTTCCTGTCTTTAACTCCATCTCTGAGCTGATCTCTGGCCTTCATCATTTTCTTGAGATGCCAACTACAATCTTTAGGTTGATTATAGTTCCAAATTGATTCACCTTTCAAAGAATAGATGTGCATCCACTTTATCCAGAGACTGTATTCTTTCCTTTTCAGATACTACAACTACTTTCCCAGCATTGCTTTATTCCAAATGCCCGGTTCTTTCAAATTTAAACCACCTTCTGCTTTGCTTCTGCACAACGTATCCCATGCCACCAGTGGTATATGTTTTCCATTCGGCTTATTTCCCAAAAGAAACTTCCTGCAAGAGGCATTTATTTGCTTGATCACTGACAGAGGTATTAAAACAATGCTGGCCCAATAGCTGTGAAGAGTCAAGAGCACTGCATTGATCAGAACTACCCTTCCAGCATAAGACAAATGTCTGGTTGACCAACACTGAATTCTTCCAGTTATTTTCTCAACAAGAGTCTGACAGTCATTCTTAGACCATGGTATGGGAAGAGTAACGCACACCTAGAGTTAAGTGGTTGTCATCCCTCAGGGGAGGAGGACCAGTGTATCTATTGAGGATGTGGCACCCATTAATTAATTAATTGATTAACTTTCTAGAAAAGTCTTCCACCAACTTAGCTTTAAAATGTAGTTTGTCTCTAGAAAATTCGTGCTGCTTTCACCGACCTAGACTAGCATTTGTTTTGTTAATTAATTAGTTAAATGAACAACCAACATAGTGAGAGTATAAATAGGTGTAGGGAGTCTCATTTGTAGTAAGGCAAGTCTTCTACTCTTAAGCTTTTGTTGTATATTTATTGTGTGTTTGATTCCTTCTGTAATTATACTTTGGTGTTTTGGTTTGTTTAATTGTGAAGTGTTTTATTTGCTTTCGACTCGATTATTATTTATATTGTTTGATCCTGGGCATGTATCAGTAGCACTGATACCCAACAAGTGGTATCATAGCGGGGTTATTGTGATAGTTGGTGGTGATCATCGTTGTGTTGTTTTTGTGGTGCTCGTTTAAGGTGCAGAGTATATCGTTACTCTGTCGGAGTTGACAGTCAAGGAGTGTCGAAGTATAGTGCACAGTTGGGGACTATGGTCATGATTGGTCAGGAACCATCGTGTGTTGATTAGTGTCAGGGACACTAAGATAGTATGGCGGATTTTTCCGCAAGTGCTATCAGCATAAAGAAGCTGAATAGCATCAACTATGGGAATTGGAGCACCCGGATGAGATGTTATCTCAGAGGTCAAGATCTATGGGATATTTTCGGAGGAGA